ACAGGTGACTGAGCGTTTTGTTGTTGTTGACAGGTGACTGAGCGTGTTGTTGTTGACAAGTGACTGAGCGTTTTGTTGTTGTTGACAGGTGACTGAGCGTGTTGTTGTTGACACGTGACTGAGCGTTTTGTTGTTGTTGACAGGTGACTGAGCGTGTTGTTGTTGACAGGTGACTGAGCGTTTTGTTGTTGTTGACAGGTGACTGAGCGTGTTGTTGTTGACAGGTGACTGAGCGTTTTGTTGTTGGTGACAGGTGACTGAGCGTGTTGTTGTTGACAAGTGACTGAGCGTTTTGTTGTTGTTGACAGGTGACTGAGCGTGTTGTTGTTGACACGTGACTGAGCGTTTTGTTGTTGTTGACAGGTGACTGAGCGTTTTGTTGTTGTTGACAGGTGACTGAGCGTTTTGTTGTTGTTGACAGGTGACCGTAGAAGACTCTCAGCTGTCTCACCTCACTCGAGATCGCGTGAAGATTCCTCAGAACCGCCGGCTGCCCACCAGAGGTCACCTTCTGGCCGTGGTCAGTTCGATCCTTATGTGCTTCTTCTTCTTTTGACTCAATCTTCTTCGGCACAAGTGAAGTGTGAAGGTGCTTGAACATCTCAGAAAACTAAAGATCTAAAGATGATGAAAGTCAGAAGCTGCTCTCCCTGCGTGTACTGTAGCTTCATGCACAGTGCAGCAGTGAGCCGAACTCCACTGGAAGGAATACGGGAGTCAGGATGTAGCGTCCGAGCTCCAACTGAAACAACACAACTAGCACGATGTATATAAAATACACATGACAATGGAACTGTATGTCGCTCCTCCGCTTCACGTGTAGTGAAACAACAAGCTGCAGTTACAAAGTTATTCTTTACAATCGACAAAGTAATATTAGGGCATTACGCTGTGTTACTTTTGAAGGCTTTAACACGTGAAGGATGGCAGCGGAGGATTTTACTGAGACCATTTATGTAAAACAACACATGTGGCGAACTTACGGTTCCGGGTCAAAGTGCATGTCAACATATCAGCGAATTAATTACACAATTCTAGGCGCCCAGAAGGGGGCGCCATCAAGGGCAGAACAGAAGTAAGTGGACTTGAGTTGAGATAGTTTGTTCTGATCCACCAGGCCTCCTCCTCCTCCGACGGGATGCTGACCCTGGATCTGATTCAGGAGGACGACGCCCACCCCCACCTCGGACCGGACTGCCCCAGGTCCAAGACTGACGGCGCCCTCTCCGCCGAGGCCTCTGGGAAATCCCAGAGCCTCCCTCGGGAGGTGGCGTGGGAGAAGACGGGCCAAACCCCCCAGACGGGAAAGCTCCTGACGCCGGCGGAGAAGAACCGCTGCGCCTCCATGGACGAGATCCTGGCCCATTCTGAGGCCAAGGGCGCCGCCCGCGAGGGCAACGCGGCAATGAGCAGAACCTCCGTCACCCGGCTGCAGGAGTTAATCAGCCAAAAGCTGGAAGAGACGGAGCGGCTGCTGACGGAGGTGCAGGCGGAGGCCAAGGAGCGGGGGAGGGGCTCGGGGGAGGAGTCGACGGAGGCCGAGCGGCTCCTGAGGGAGGCGGAGGTGACGTGGAGTCGTGCTCGGGACGTGTTGGAGGAAGTGAAGGAGCTGAGGGAGTTGTACCGACAACTGGACTCCTCCTCCACTCCCCCCATTCTGCCCCAAACTGAACCGGGGCTGGAGGAGCGTCATGTGGGCCGCAGCGGTCCGGTCCGGTCCGGTCCGGTCCAGTCTGGTAAAGCCCGGTAGATTCTTCTGCGCGTTGGACCTCAGACGAAGCTGCTGGATCCACGTTTAGATCGTCAGGAAACATTCAGGTTCTGACTTTCCAGGACGGTTTGCAGCACAAAGTGCACTCGATTGGTTTGGAGAAACGTCTTTAGGGGCTTTGAAAAGTCCTTCAAGATGTTCGTTGGTCAAACGTCTTTAAAATGTGCCAAGACGACGAGTCCAGAGTCAAAGAGACAAAAGCTTCCGTTTGGACCTTTTTATTTGAGCCAACATTGATTTGGTTTAAAGAAGACTGAGACCAGTGTTTCCCTCCTCGCTTTACCCCTGGTGGGGGGGGTGGGGGGGGGTATTGGGGCAGAAGGGCATGTGTGGAACAACAACGAATTCATTCATTCATTTCATTAAAGAAATGTTTGACTTTTTGCACACTTTGAAGGTCTTTTAAAGTCGTTCACTGACCCTGGAGACCTTAAAGACGCTCTCAGCTGAACTCTTCTTGCTTCTGGACTCAGTTCAGGAGGTTCAGGTCCACCAGGATCCTCCTGAACCAGTAACGACACACTCATTGGATTCTATGCAGCACTGAAGAACTCTTCCTTCCTTCTGGGTGTAAAACCTAATTTACGTTTCTTTTTGGGTCATTTCTCATTATTTTTACTTTTATGCTCAATCAAACCATTTACAGCGTTTTTAAGTCTCGCTGGATGAAAGGCTGGTTTCCTGCTCAGAGGCACGTCGGCAGGTCAGGTGACCTTTTTCTTTTTGCTTAAATCCTTTATGTCAATTTTTACATGAAGATTATTTTTGTATAAAACAATAAGACTTTTGTACTTTTACAGCTCCCTGTGAAAAACCCCAAAGGAAATCATTTTAAAACCTCGTCTTTCATTCTTGAACTAAACAATAAATGAAAAATACAAAAAAATGACTTTATAACTTTCAGGCCAGAAGATTCTAGTTAAAAGAAGTAAGTTCTTTATACTTAAAACCTGTTTAGACGTGTTTGTTTAGTTCAGCAATGAAACATTGTTTTCCTTTTATTATCGTTAGAAAATGAATTTTAATTGTTGTTTCTCAGAAGGAAAATAATTCTGTTGTGTGATTACTGTTCAGTTTGGTACGACTTATAAATCAAATCCTTTTACGTTCTTTATTTTGATACTAAAGAGCACAAAAGTCAAATGATCACATTGTTGCACTTTATTACAACCTTTCTAAACATTAGTGTGAACTGATGAACAACAGAGAAATGACATTTTTATTTCCCATAAAGTGCTTCTGTTCCTCGATGAATGTCTTTACTGATCGTCTCCCCTCGCTGTGCATCCTGGGTGGCAGCCAAAGGGGATTATGGGGGATGTAGTCCAGCGGGGATTCATACAAAAATTAATAAAAACCTTTATCTGAACCTGGATCAGTGTGATGTCATCGGACTGAGAGCCAGCAGGCTTTAACTGTGTATATATATACATATATATATATAAATATATGTACTTTATGTATGTATATACACACACACACACACACACACACGTATACACGCGAGCTGTATCTACACTATGATGACATCAAACCGGTGACATCGTGTCATTTCTCAGACAAACTTGATGTCTCCTCATTGTTGAGCGTTTGAAGCTGTCACTCATCCGCTCGGTCCAACAGGACCAATGTGCGTCTCGTCCGACCCGAACGCAACACAAGCGTCCTCTTTCCTCAGCAAGGTTCCTCGCTGAAGGAAAGGAAGTGAAGAACTGCGCGTCTCACCGCGTGGACAAAGGAACTAAGAGCGGCGCCATCTTGATCTGTAAGAAGAACAAACTAATATACATGATTTATTTTTATTTATATAAATTTAAATAAAAGACGAAAGCATGTTGAGATGATCCGCAGCGCTCTCCCGTGGAGACTTCTGGTCTGGAGACGGGATGAAGCTCAGGGAGCTGGAGACCAAACTCCAGCAGAAGAAGGAGGTGTGGAGACAACAGGGGGACGCGTAATAAATAAAAGCCTTAAAAGCCAAAAAACGTATAAAGGAGAGATAAGGAAGATAAACTTGTTTCATTTAATTTAGGAAGATACGCTTCTCCTCCAGAGCATCATACATTTCAGGCTGAGAGAAGAACCTCTTACGGTTCATTTTAAATTCAAATTAAATCAGTTAATGTATAATAATAATTGTTGGAATGCATTGAGATGCATTCCAAGTATTGTTCTTCGAATCTTTATTCTTCATCTTCTATTTCTTCCGCGGCACCTTTCAACTCCTTCACACTTTCAGCTATTAAAACCGTTCAAATATTAAAATGTTCAGCTCCTTTCTGGCTTGAGGGCTATGACTTTTCAGCTTTCTACCTCTTATGCTTGAATTTATATAAATCAATAATCATTAATATTTTAACATGGTTTTCAAATGGAGTTTGCTTTCAAATCCTCCTAAACTTCTTCAACTTTCAGATTTTTCAGCTTCGCAAATCTTTCAGCTACAGACACCATTTCAACTCTCAAATGTTCACACAAGTCTCAACTATTTTATGAAAAAAACTGCTTCTTCATATCTATTGTACTTTTTTCATAATCACTGATTATGTTTCACTAGTTTTTCGCTCCGTTTCTGACTTTTACATGAGTGTGTATTGCGTCTGCTAGAGGCGGGGCCTCGCAGGCTAGAGTGTGAAGCATCGCAGAAATCTGGTTAAAAAAGTATGGAACTTCTGTCCTTGCAGCCAAAGTATACACTCTAGAGGCTTCATTTCTTCAGATTAATGAGGGTATGGTTGTGCTGATTGGATTAATGTGTTCATGGAATCTCAGAGTTTTTTAGTTTTGGCGCAAGGAGTGTTTGAGTGACACAACCTCTGCCAAAAGCCCCATAGGCTCCAATACAAATCTGCCGACATATTTCTCACAAAAATCCACAAGGTACACGTTCTGTCAACGGCCATAGGAGCCGTATTTATTACCGGACAGACATAAAAACACATCCACGCGTTCGGTAGAGTCTTGGGTCTCATACAAACGCCGTATTTTTTAGATAGCTGTTATAGTTTTGCGCTGGTTCTCATTTGTTTGAGGTGTGGATTCTGTGTAACTCGCTGTCCTGTGTCTGCACTTTTGCAGCCGCACAGGTGCGTCGTTGTCGTGGTTACGAGCACTCACACGCTGCAGGATCTGTCTGTGGCTCACAGCTGCTCCCTATGACCTGATTAGTGGAGTCACATGACGCAGCTATGCTTTCTGTCAACAGACCAATATGATAAAGACACTCGCCCCCCCTCCCCCCTGACCTCTTCTCACTGTTAATCACTCAGTCAGTCAGTATGTCTGTCTATTTCTCCTCCTCTCTCTCTCCCTCTATCTCTTCCTCACCACCCCTCCCTTCCTCACCCTCTCACCCTCCCTCCCTCTATCTACACCCCCCCAACCCACCCAATCCAATAATTTCAAAATAAAAGCCACATGGAGGGAATTTTTACTGTAATGTTTGTGATGAGGCCTATTAATTAAAAACTTCTTAGTTTGAATAACAAACATTCTGTCTCCCACTACGAATATTACTCGTACTTCTAGTACTACAACTGATACTTCTACTACCATACTACTAGTATTTCTACTGCTATTAATACTACAACTACTACTAATGTTATTACAAATACGACTATGGCTAATAGTATTACAGCTGTTTCTACTGCTATTGATACTAAACCTACTATTACTGCTAGTACTACTAATACCACAATTATAACTAATACTACTACTAATATTACTACAAACAATTTTAAACAAATTTAAGCTCCTGCAACTTCTGTTTTTAGAAAATCTATTGAAATTCAGCTTCCCACTTCCTGTATTTTCAGCAGTTCTTTAAAATAATTTCAGCTATTCTTATGCCTCTATCAACAGCAATTTTTCAATATTCATTTCTGTATTTTTTTGCAATAATTTCAAATTTATTTCAGCTGGTTTCATTTCTGCTTTTTCAGCAAATCTATTGAAATTCCTTTCAGCTTCTCCCATTTCTGTAGTTTCAGCAATTTCAAATTCATTTCAGCTTTTCTAATATCTATAATTTCAGCAAATGTATTCAAATTCCCTTCAACTTTCTGTATTTTCAGCTATTTTAAAAAGTTCATTTCAGCTTTCAGCTTTTTGCATTCCAACGCATTTTCAGCAGGAAATGCATTTTCTAGTTTATAATTACTCTCAGCTGAAAGTAATATTACAATCTTAATTCAGAGGAGATTCCTCAATAAAACCACAACCCATCTATTAACTTGTATACAAGGACTTTTTCTTTTTCTTGCAGAGGATACGAGATATTTTAACTAAGACATTAGAGAATCTGTCCACTACAGCAGCTTGATGTCTCAGTATCTCGCTGTGGGTTCAGAATACGAGTGATGTGTTCAAAGGCTGAGCAGGAAGCAGCTGACTGCACTGGAACAGGTGGAGGACGAGTCGACTAACGGTTGGAGATGTTCTCCTGCAGCGTTGGAGCAGTGAAGACGCTGGTGAAGAAGAGGCCCCTTAATGGTCTTCAGTCAGACCAAACAGATCCGCCCGTAACGCGTCTTCAGGTACCCAGGAAACCGCTATAAAAAGTACTACTATTGTCTTGAACTTTACTGCTGTTATTGTATTGTGTATATATTGTGCATTGTACTTCCTGTGTACAAGTACAACCACACCTGCTGCTACACACAAATGGGGGCGAATAATCTATTAAACGATCTCTGATACAACTGATCTAAAGTTTCATTCAAAGCTTTCAGTGGTCAAGCAACTTTATATTGATTAGTTGGGTTTTATTGATCAGTATAAAATATCAATGAGGGTTTTTCTGCATAGAAAAGACACAACGTTGATATTTCATGTTTTTATTGAAAAAAACTCAAAACAGCGACACAAGAAGAAGTAAAAATATAAAATAAACCAATTCAACTTTCACACCTACAGAAACCACTATGTACAAAGACCAGGACCCACAGGGGGACAGAGACCAGGACCCACAGGGGGACAGAGACCAAGACCCAGAGGGGGACAGAGACCAGGACCCAGAGGGGGACAGAGACCGGGACCCACAGAGCGACAGAGACCAGGACCCAGAGGGGGACAGAGACCAGGACCCAGAGGGGGACAGAGACCAGGACCCACAGAGCGACAGAGACTGGGAGAATCAGAGACCCGCAGACCAACCGGTTGGGATGTTTTAAATATCTTCCCAGAGTGCACTGCTGCCACATGGAGCAGAGCGCCGAGGCTCATGGGTAATGTAGTTGCTGTTTTAACGGACCAGTACAAGTGAGCCTCTGGGTTTCTGGTCTGTGATGATTATTAACAACAAAATGCAGATTAATGTTTGCTTAATGTTAAAGAGACAGGAAGTAGAACATGGGTAGTACTCTGAGTACTCCTGTAGAAGCACGTGTCCCGTTTCCTGAGGCAGAATATCAGTATTGATCTGTGATCTGATCACGCGCTCCGTTTCCTGTCCGTCTGTGGGGTCAGAGGTCACTAGAGTGAGGGGGTTAAAACTATTCATCGTCGTCATCGTCACCATCATCCTCTGCATCTCTCTTCCTCTTCTCCCCCTGAACATCTGCACCATCCACATCTGTGAGAAAGGGAGATTTCCAAAACAAAGCGTCTATATCAGATTTTCAGATTAAGAGTCTATAATGCTAAAGTGCTTTCAATTTAATAAAGAAAAAAAAAATCCCCAAAACAGAAAATATGAAAAAGTAGAAATTGTATTTTGTGTACAAAATAAAGAGCCGTTGAATCATTTTTAATGATGTTGCACTTTTAAACACAAACCTCCTCCTTCTTCCTCCTCCTCCTCCTCCTCCTCTTCCTCCTCTTCTACGTAGTCTCCATCATCTTCCTCATCCTCAGAGGAAAAGAGCACAGCGACATCACAGGACGAAGAGCGCAGCGACATCACAGGACGAAGAGCGCAGCGACATCACAGGACGAAGAGCACAGCGACATCACAGGACGAAGAGCGCAGCGACATCACAGACAACTCACCTGGATTCCCTCCTTCATCAGGTACGACAGGCCGACCTCCTCCTCTCCCTCAGAGCTGTCAGCATCTTCATCATCTTCATCATCATCATCATCATCATCGACTCCATGTGGACCAGCGACATCATCGTCATCTGAAACAAAAAACATTCAGAATCAAACGTCGTCTCCTCGGTGTGAAGCCTTCAGCAGTAATCAGTACACAAACCCACAAATACAAACACAATCAATTCTACGAAAAAAGTAAATGGATGATAAATAATATTTTAGTTGTATTTTGTAAGACGGAAAACCAACCGAAACACGTGAAAATAAAAATGGTGAAAAAACTCACAGCGCTAAAAACCGTGTGACTGTAAATATCGATAACGTCTCACGGTGTGTCGACACCAACGAGGTCCGCGGAAAAACAATACGATTTCGCATGTTTTCATTTTTTTTGCACATTACACCAACCAGTGACTAAGCCACTGCATGCAGCCTGCACGCAATGACTGACAGGAGGCGGGGCTTAGAGCGCGTGCTCACAGCGAGGGCCTGCAGGGGGTTATAGATAAATACACCAGTATCGTGTGTGTTGTACTGAATTCTGCGATCACAGCGTGGGTTAGATATTCACAGCAGGCCGAGTATCACGAGAATATCACACGATCAAATAATCCTCCTGTCTGCGCGTCGCTGTACAGAAGTGGCGGTTCTACTGAGAGCTACGGGGGTTCAGATGTCCGTTACCGGTGTCAGCCTCTGAGTCCGGCGCCTCGTTGTCCTCGTGGTCGTACCCATCCAGGAAGGTGAGCTGAGGAAGCAGCTCGAAGACGGCGTCCGTGTAGTCGTCCAGCGTGGAAACCTCACAGCTGTAGAGGTACAGACTCTTCAGGTTCTTCAAGCTCTTCTGCAGAACCCAGACGACAAAAACATCTAAGGACAAAGCCCGAAGGAGAACGCATGGTGCCTTCAGGCTCCACCCCGTAACAATGGAAGAAAGCAAAACTATTATGTGTGTTGCGTTCAGGGTCCACAGTAGTGTTTGTGACAGCTTTGAACCCGAGGACGCTCAGCATCACATGATGTCAGAGGAACTCACCAGCGGCTCGATGCTGCTCAGCTCTTTGATCTTGTTGCCGCTCAGGTTCAGGTACGCCAGGTTGGGACACGTCTCTGCCAGCGCCTCCAGATTTCCTGTGATGGTGTTGTCACTCACTTCCAGCTACACGCACACGCACACGGCAATAAATGGCATCTGATTCTGAATACCGACGGACACAAAGACAAGCACAGGCAGCGTTTGCATTGAGGGAACAGGAAGCGCGGCGCCAACCTTGCGTAGCTTGGGCAGAGAGGGCAGCTTGGCGAGTGACGAGAGGCCGATGTTCACCATGCTGAGGACCTCCAGCGCCACATACTCCTCCGACAGACCCTCCACCTCCCCGTCACTGGAGCGACAGTTATCCACCACCAGCTCCACCACCTGAACATCAACAACGACGGGTCATGTGACCACGCCTCCACGTCATCCAGCAGCAAACACGGTTCTTTAAAACCTGCTCCTTAATGTGAAAAATATATTTGGCATTTTTAGCAACGTTTATAAGGAGACACAAATGCTACAATGCACACATTCTCCCTGTAAATGACACAAAAGTGCATTGTGAGAGACTCCAGACAGGCCCGGTGCTCACAATAGCATATTTACCTTATTAGCTTGTACCTATAATTGTTGATCAGTTCCATAGCATGTTAGCTAACTACCAATTGACTGCTTAATTATAATTCTTTATTTTTTTAAATATCTGAGGATATGAAATGTGTTATGTGTGCATTACTTTTACAAACAGAAATATGTGGCAAAGAACAAACAAATCTAAACCAACAAATGTCAAATCATATTTTTTGCAGAGCTGGAGTCAATTTGAGTAACGTTACTTTGTTTTCTACGTGATGACGCTGTTTTACGTATTTAACTTTTAGCATCACGTCGACAGACGGTCTGTCCTGGGGGGTCACTTCCTGCCTGCGTCAGCAGCGCCGGCGCTCCTGTTGCCGAGCAACCTGCTGTTTGACAGCAAAAGCCTTCAAAGCCAAAACAATTACAAAGTACAGGAAAAGAAGATCTTATTTTATTGTATTGAGGAAGAAAAGCTTCTCCTCCGGAGCATGAAATATTCCAGCCTGAGAGAAGAACTTGAACACAACTAAATGTAAAGTTAGTTTATAATCACACAACAAAACAAAAGGAGCAAAACAAGTTCAGTTTCCTTCTGTATTTATTCTGTAACGTTACTGACAGAAAGTGATATTTCAGGTTCGTTTGTTATAAATGTGTGTTTGTACTTTGATGTTCAGAAGAACAGAACATGGACCCGGGTCCTGAATAAATTAAATCCCGCACTGCATGCTGGGATATGCTGGTCCGCAAAGGACAGGTCGGATGTGTCCTCCAAACGGCTCCTGGAGGACTGCGTCCCTCCACCGCGTTCGGAGGACGACGGTTGGGACGGACGAGTCGCAGCGGAAGTGACGTCTGCGTCCTGAAGGAGGCCGCCGAGCGGCTTTGAGACTCGGCTCGTCCTCCAGCAACTCCCCGGAACGCGCGTTGGCAATACTGCGCGTGCGTAGAGGAGCGACAAGCACGCGCAGCGGCTGCGTGCGCGCGCATCCCCCACAGCGACGAGCTGCTGTCGGTCGGATCCTCTTCACGTTTAACGATCTCTTTTGAACAGCGGAACGTGTTTTATCGTCCCTTCAGAAAACACTTCTTAAAACGTTATCAGGCACGATCGAACCTGGATGTCCGCTTAATTCCATCCATAAAAACACCATAATCTAAATATAATCAAATCACTACTGTTTGAGTCAGGATGAGAGGAATGGATCAGCAGGACCGGAAAGATAGTAAAAACGGATAAAATCGTGCCGGTGCAGAGCATCACTGAAACAACGTAAATGAGTAACAGACAACGCAGATTAGAGAATGAAGTCTGGTTGGAGTCACCATCAGATTAGAGGCCAAACCAGGTGTAAGAAGGTTAAAATGGCAGCCAGCTCGCCCGCGCAGGGAACCGGACTGCTTCGGACGGATGCTGGGTTTTTATCAACGGACCAGCGTGATGCCGAAGTAATAACGCAATGATGCCAATTCGTAAAAAGTAACGACACGTATTGTTAGTTTCGTCCTGGCCAGGTCAAGAAGACAGTGTCTCAAAGGACTGTTTTTCTCAATGGAGCGCTGATCGTTTGGACGTCAGGGATGACAGCGGGAGCATCTCAACGCTGATTGGTCTTCGCCACACAGCGTCACGACAATTTCCCCCCGAGTTGAAGACGTTCCAAGTCACGCGAATAAGGCAAATTATGTGAATTCGCGCCACCCGACGTTAGCCTGTTAGCTCGTATACTAGCAAGAGAATGGGAAGTCCTCCGCGATGGAGCCCGGGGGGAAGTTCAAAATGTCGGAAATAAAACGCCGTCACCGTGTCTCCGTCCTCCTCCGCCTCCATAGAGCGACCGCTTCGATAGTAACAGAGTGGTAGTTCACTCACGTCCGCTGGGTTCCTGTTCCTCAGCTCCAGGCTGATCCTCTTCTTCATCTCCATGTTGGAGCCCGAACAGGAAATAACAAACGGCAGTAACAAAGGAAACAGAAAATAAAAGTCTGCGTCTTCCTCCAGTAGATATCAGAAAAAATCTAAACGGCCATGTTCCCTGTCGCCCGACCTCCACAACGGGACCACGCCCCCTTTATAAAAGGAATATTCATACATCTGCAGACCCCGCTCTGCCATTGGTTTGATGCTGAGCCAGTCATTGTGCCCCGCCCCCTACAGCTCATTATCCAACAGCCATTGTTTATAACCAGCAGGGTGTTGCTTCCTTGTAACCAATGAGAAGGCGAGGATGAAACATTTAAACTTTATACACGCCCACTCTTTGTCCTCATTGGCGCCATATTTTACTGACGCCTAAAAGTACACTTTTAGTACCAGTTGTATTGTTAGCTAGTAGTTGTGGTATAATGAGTATTGATACGTGTACCAGTAATATTGTTGAAGTACTGCCGGTAGTGAGCTAGTAGTTGTGGTATAATGAGTATTCATACGTGTACCAGTAGTATAGTTGTAGTACTGCAGGAAGTGAGCTAGTAGTTGTAGTACAATGACTAGTGATAATAGTACCGGCATAATTGTTGTACTGCAGATTGTGATCTAGTAGTTGTAGTACAATGAGTAGTGATACTTGTACCATTAGTAAAGTTGTAGTACACCAGGAAGTGAGCTAGTAGTTGTAGTACAATGAGTAGTCATAATAGTACCAGCATAATTGTTGTACTGCAGATTGTGATCTAGTAGTTGTAGTACAATGAGTAGTGATACTTGTAGTGTAGTACTGTTGTACAATGAGTAGGACAGACGTCTTTGAAGGTCCATCTCAAAATAGAGCTGAATTCACCTCTTCAGACTCTCCACTAACACACTAACTGCAGCACTTACACTGGACTTATAATGGTTCTTATCTACAGCAAGTTGTAAACTGGCTTATTTGATGAAATCACACTTTCTTGTTCTTCTGAGTTTGTACCCTATGGTTACACTTACTGTAAGTCGCTTTGGATAAAAGCGTCAGCTAAATGACGTGTGATGTCATGTAATGAATAGATGGTGTAAATGACCACTAGCAGTGTTTCTATTTTGATGATCCTGTTTCCTACTTTGATTTTATGTGACTTATTTTGACATCATACTATCTGCACACGTGATTAATCGCTCGCGCTCACGCTTACATTTGTTCAATAGATGACACGAGAAGCCACGTTACAAGACAATGCAGGTTTAGAGCCAAAGATTTAGAAATATGGCTGTAACCTTAACTCAAGTGTTATATCATTCAGTGTTTGGATTAGCTTTGGCAGTAAACGTTTGAGAATGATTTATTAAGTTGCTAGCTAGCTCTCTAACGTCTAAATTAAGATACTTAAGGGTCGTCGTGGCGCAGAAGCACAAGGTTGGTGGTTCGATTCCAGGCTGCCCCATGTTCCATGTCGAAGTGTCCCTGAGCAAGACACCTGACACCCTAATTGCTCCCCGGGCAAAAATGTGAAAAAGCCATGGGTTTAAAGTGTAATGTAAGTGGCTTTGGATAAAAGCGTCTGCTAAATGACATGTAATGTAATGTAATAATGGCGGCGACCTTCCCTGGATTACCATTTATAGCACCCTTTGATATGCAGAGCGAGGTATGTGGTTCATTGTAATTGCATTTCATGTGATTTCATTTCCTATAATGACTGTTGCCTGCTAAGCTGTTATCCATGTATGCTAAAGTGCATTTGTCAAAGGATTATTTTGTATCTGGCTAAATTTCCTTTGTTGTTTCCCTTTTTAGTTTTCACGGTGTTGGTGCTATGCACACTCGTCTGAATTAAAGTACACCTGTCTGGATACACTCCCAAGCCTGTGTATTCCAAGTTCAAGGGATGCTACAGATATTCAAGTGAAATCAAAATATATTTATTTGTAACAAGACCAAGTGAAGTCACAACTTGAATCACATAAATAGCATTTGATCCAAGTGTCCTTGATGATGAGAGCTGTTTAAATGATTCCTCCATTGGCCCCTTTAGCATAGGAAGGAGCTTCAATGTTTCCTTGATTCTCTTCTTTAGCATAGCGAAAGATGTTTCAATGATTCCTTTGTTAGCTCCTGTATTATAGAAAAGGTTAGCATGGGAAATATGGTTCAATGCTTAATGTATAAGCTCCGTTAGCATAGGAAACACTATAAACACATCATGATGTGGAATTTGTACTTAAAGAAGCAAAAGAAGAAGAATGAATAAGTCGGGACCCAGGATGGAGCCCTGAGGAACACCACAAGATGGTCCTTTTCAGACTCTACCTGTACTAAAAGACTAACACATTTTAGCACTTAAATTGTACTTAAGTAGTAAGTAGTAGGCTCATTTTCGAGCCTCACAGCCTCGATGGCAAGGCTCATGGTTCTCTGGTGCAGTGTTTTTCAACCAGTGTGCCGTGAGAGGCTGTCAGGTGTGCCGTGAAAAAAAAACATTTTTTACATACTGTCACTTCATTGGTGAAAAAAAAGAGCCAACTTGTGTGTGTGTGTGTGTGTGTGTGTCGTAGCGCGGTTGGTGGTATGAAGGCTCAATACTCCCCTCTGCCTGTGGGTGGCGCTACGCAGCGTAATTAATAGGCAGATTTGCTGAGGTGACAATTTAAAAAAGTGAGATGAAGAGATACTGGGCATAAAGCCTGTTCCATCTTGGCATTAGGATGATGTTAAGTTTAATAAAACACAGCAAAGAGAACTCGCGTTTCCCTGATTTCTTAGAGGATATTATGCTCATGCTGGAACTATGTTAGGGATTGATTTTCATATCATTTCTGGTAGTTGGTTTGCCGTGAGATTCTTTGTGTCTTAAGTGTGCCTTGACGCAAAAAAGGTTGAAAAACACTGATCTGGTGGATGATTCAATACAGCATGATTTAATTAGTAAATGATAGTCCAATTAGACTATACTGCACGCTCAAAACGACTACAAAACGAATTGTTTATTAAGGCTGCTCACTGTGAGCAGCCTTAATAAACAATGCTTAATAAACAAATACTAACCAGCTTCTGATCGCCTTCTTAATACCTCATTTTGTTATTGTATTTATATTATGTGTATCCATTGTTTCGCTTTGAAAGGCTCCTGTTTAAGCACTTTATTTGTTGCACCTTTTTGTTTGATAATGAAAAGTATTTTTCCCTGACTAAACTTGTGTCATTTTTTGCTGAACATAAATCATTAAGTGCTCTTAAGAATACAATTATTAACAGTATAGGTGAGGTTTCAGTTAAGAATTAGTTGAATACCGTTGTAATCAAAATTTCAATCAACCTAAATTGGTCAAATCTTAAACGCAGGTGTATTAATTAGGCTATATGTTGGTCCATAGACGCTCATTGAGGCACAGCAACAGTTTTCTGGTTGAATGTTCAGCTCAAGTCTAGAAGGCCCCTCAAGTCATGAGCAGATGAACATGAATGAGAATAAGTTCAGGCAGACCACCCAAAAATACACTGGAATGCATGAAATAACCTCTACGTAAACCAACACGTCCTGGGGGGAACCTTCAGCTGTGTCTGCTGCTCAGAATGTAACCAGTGTCCATCTCCAGCAGGCACCCGATCAACCACCAGAAAGCAGCGTACAACGCGGAACTACGCCAAGTGAATTACAATCTGCTGATATATGAGCTGCGTGTGCGGCAACATGTTGGTCACCCGACAAAATCTCACTCCGAGGTTTTTTGAAAAGCTGTCAGCTCTGTGATGCTGCGCTCATCTGATGGTCTGAGGCTGTTCAGAACCGACCAACAAGCGGTGGCCTGGGGGTGGAGCTTATGAACCCCACTGATTGGCCGTCCCGTGAGCAAAGCCCCGCCCACCCGAAGCCCACAGAGGAGGCGCGGCTGTGTCAGACCACGTGGTCTGGTGTAGCACCTGGTCGAGCAGCCGCAGCGCTCGATGCAGGTGGACCTCCAGCCAGCAGGGTGTGTCCTTGATGCTCTGACGTGGGTTGTCGGACCCCCAACCTTTGACGAAGCTCAGGCGCACGATGCACAACCGCCGCAGGTCGTCCGCGCCGACGTCTGCTGAGGAACACACACCTGGGGAAGACAGGTCGGAGCTTTACTCGGCATACTTGGGTTACAAGAGGAGGAACCAACACCGGCAGGGACAGTTTAAACAGTTTAAATATAGGTTTGGTCAGACTGTCAGAGACGCCTGACGTCTGCACGCAGAGAGGCTCCAACAGCAGTTCTCTGCCAACGAGTCTACATCAGGCCTCCGACAGACCACCAGCTACGAGCCCAAAGCCCCCCCACTTCATGCACCACGTCCGCCTGGATAACGAGCTGACAGACTTCTGCTGACGCTTTGACCGAGAGAGGAGCCGCCCTGAGCTCCTCCTCAGCCTTCACACCCCACAACCACATCCGCCTCCTCATCGACGCCTCGCTCTGTTCCCCAGAGGGACTTAAATCACAGAGCCCCTGGACTCGCTTTCTCCCTCCATCCTGAAGCATTGTGCTGATTGCTGGAGACCTGCCATGTGCTCCTTTATCATCCCCGTTCCCCTCAAAACAAGGATCACAGGATGTAATGATCACAGGACCGTCGCCAAGACGTCTGTGGTGATGAAGTCCTTTGAGCACATTGTCCTGTCCCACCTCAAAAGCTTAACTGACCCCCTGCAGTTCGCCTACAGAGCCAACAGGTCTGTGGATGATGCTGTCAACATGGCCCTCCACTACATCCTCCAGCATCTGGACTCCCCAGGAACCTACGCCAGGATCCTGTTTGTGGACTTCAGCTCTGCCTTCAACACCATCATCCCGTCTCTGCTGCAGGACAAACTCTCCCAGCTGCAAGTGCCCGACTCCACCTGCAAGTGGATCACAGACTTCCTGTCTGACAGGAAGCAGCACGTGAAGCTGGGGAAACATGTCTCAGCCTCCAGGACCATCAGCACCGGTTCCCCCCAAGGCTGCGTTCTTTCCCCTCTGCTCTTCTCCCTGTACACCAACAGCTGCACCTCCAGTCACCAGTCCGTCAAGCTCCTGAAGTTTGCGGATGACACCACCCTCATTGGACTGATCTCTGGTGGGGACGAGTCCGCCTACAGGTGGAGTCTGACCATCTGGTGTCGTGGTGCAGCCAGAACAACCTGGAGCTCAACGCTCTAAAGACAGTGGAGATGGTTGTGGATTCACCCTCCCCCATCACCCCGTGTGACTCCCCCATCACCCTGTGTGACTCTTTATCGGTTTATATTGTTAATTCCTGCTCGTATATTTTTATTTTACTTTACTATGTTATTCTCATATTGCACCAGTCAAATTCCTCTATGTGTAACATACGTGGCAATAAAAGGCTTCTGGTTGTGATACTCACGGCCTGCAGGGGCGATGCCCCCCACGCTGCCCGACCCCGGAATCGCACCAACAACTGCTGTTGCCTGCTGCTGCATCTGCCTGTGACACTGCCTCAGGTCAAAGACCTGGAGAGACAGACAGGTCAGGGAGGGAGAGACAGATAGACAGGTCAAAGGTCAAAGACCTGGCGAGAGGGGCGGCTATTACTGTCGTCATAAACCAGCATTACCGTGGTTTAACTATTTTGTGCGCTATTTGCCGTCCCTCCGTAACGCCAGTAACACACTCAGTTAAATTCCAGTGATTGTAACTGGATTAAAAAAAGACTTTGTTACATCCTCGTTAGCGCTAAAAGTAGTGGGATTACAGTGACGCGTTGCTCCAAACACTGCTTACAGACTAAGACTCACTAATACACCGAGCTGTGTAGCGTCAAAGCCCGGTTGAATCAGTCAGCTAACTAGCAGCTGGCTGGCTAACTAGCAGCTGGCTGGCTAACTAGCAGCTGGCTGGCTAACTAGCAGCTGGCTGGCTAACTAGCTGGTCGTATCTGCATAACGCAGGAAGTCGTCTACCTTGACGTAAGCTCCGGGGTGGATCTTATGGACTCCGTCTCCGGGGGCTCGGCCCGCCTCGCGGTCCAAGTACCAACTCTGGACGAACAGCGCGTGGTCACTAAGGCAACGCATCCAGACGTCCCCGTCCCCACGGCTCTCCAGCTGCACCCCCCGGCCGACGTGGAGCCTGCGTGCAACCCGGATACAGAAGGAGGCTGTGAGACGTTGCGTCTCCTCACAGCGCTGGCGCCGGCGCCGGGGCGGCGGGTCACCTGGCTCGGTGGCTGGACGAGGTGCGGTGGACATTACTCAGCTGCCCCAAACAGAGACGGTCTCCGCCTGAAGGATCCACGCAGCCGTCCATGGTGACCACAGCGCAGCTAGACTGGACCTGAAACATCTCCCCGACCTGCACATCCAACTCAAAGTAGCAGATGGAGCCCCAGAACTCTGGATCGGGGACAGGACAGAGACAAAGGGAGACAGAGACGGTGCGTGGACATCATGATAAATAAATAAAGCAATGACTTCCACACACAAAGACGTGACTCTCCAGGTCGTCTTCAACAGAACACGTGACTCCACCTGTTGTTCTGGGTTGAATCGCTCTGCAACACACGCAGGACTTTACAACCAGGAAGTGAAAGAAAAGGAACCTTACTGTGTAAAAGAAACTTCACAGTCCGTCCATCAGTCGCCCTTTGATGTAATAGTTTATTGGTTCTAAGGACAAATGTCCACTACGTTCATACTATGAAGAGAAATGGATCCCAGTGAGCTCATGAACCTGAAGCTTCACTAAGTCAGTAACACTACAGAATAAATACACACGACTGAACATCTACTTGTCTTTTGTTGAGTGTGGATATGAACCAACTTGACACTTTGTTGAGTGTGGATATGAATCAAACTGTACATTTAGTAGTGTTTTATGGAGCAAACAGGAGGAGAACGATGTCACATCCAGCTGCTGCAGCTTGGACTTATTCTGTAAGAAGTTAGTTAAAATAACTCCAATCCCAAAAAATACAAGTTAATACATCAGTTTGCTGCTGTGGTTTTTAATTAAAACATCTGCCTTAAGATCACCATATCACTCCTAGCTGAAAGAACACGGCTTAACTCATATCATTTGGATTTAAAATAACCAGAAAATGTGTATGTTGCTAAATGAAATGAAATAAGATGTTATTCTCTATCTGTACTTCAAAGGTTTTTCTGGTTTTAATGCTCGCAGTGGAGGTAAATGTGATGACGCAGGCAGGAAGTCCGCTCGGTTCAGCCTGTTGGAGGACCAGCCGAGGTCTACTGCCAAGGTCCTGCAAGGATGCAGCCCCATGAAATGAGACACAACTCGTGTCCAATCAGCTGCACCTTCCCAGTGTATTGAAACCATGCGTGTTCTGCGTGTTCTGCGTGTTCTGCGTGTTCTGCGTGTTCTGCGTGTTCTGCGTCTCCTTGTCGGTTCGTCTGCGGTTTTGCGTGTTTTCGGTCCCTCGTGTGTTCTTGACCTTTTCCTGTGTGACCCTCACTAGGCTGAACAGATCCAGGCCTCGGGCCTACTTGCTCCTTACTTTTGAATAGAGTCATTTTGAGTCTGCGCTATAGTCTTATTCCCGGCTGGACGCTGAGACATATTTAGAATTTTTCTGAACTGAAATTCTTTGTGAATGACGAGACTTTAAAATTTATTTTGAAAAAGCACAATTTTCTTTAAAGTGAGACATTTTTAAAAGTACGGCAATTTTGAAATTGGAGAAGTTTTGAAAAAGGAGACAGTTGGACAGAGTTGGTACCGGGGTGCTTGGACACTGGTTGTAGATACGGGGAAGAGCTGTGGTGCTGTGACCCTGTGACCTGCGCGGTGACCCTGCAGGAGGCTGCAGGAACAAACAAACAAACAAACAAACAAACATACTCAGTATACTTACCACGGAACAGTGACACACTACTGCTGCGGTGCTTGGGATATTCGTCATGATGTCATACAGAATTGACAGTTGGAGGCGTGTTGATGAGGATCTAATGGAGGCTGGGGGGGCTCCGCCCTCTCAGTCCTGTTGGGTGTAGGGGGCGGAGTTGTTACCTGGCCAGGTGGCTGCAGAGACACACAGGACGAAGTGATATCCGGCTCTACGTACTGCTGCTTCTACTACTGATACTACTACTGCTGCTACTGTATTACTGCTAATCCACTAGAATACTAGATGTGTCCTACTACTTCTA